CTAAGGCTCAAGTTGAGAAGGAAAAAGACCGAACCCTGTTTGGGCTTAGGTTTTTAGTTACCCTGCCTGACTCAGTTACCCTTGAGAATATCAAAGACACCATTCAACACTACCATGATACCACAGTCCAGCCCTCCTTTGACCTCCTTAACAAGCATATCAGACAAGAAGTCACCAGTAGAATACAGAGATCAGAACTCAACAACTTCTTGGGCTCTCAGACACTCAATGCGATTGAGTCTGAACAGCAACGACGATCGGTCATCATTTACAATATTCCCCTATTTTCCAATATGTCCAGCATTTCACAGAACATGAACTACCTCCTCAGACAAGCTGACCTCTCCAATTCAGATGTGCAATCCGTAAGTATCACTTGCATACATCTTCCTCCAGCTTTCTAAGAGTTATCTTCTTACACGAAGGCTCCAGCAAGTCATTCCTACAAGCCTTCAAACAAAAGCGTAGGTATTGGCACTCCGATACACAAGAGGACTCCCAGCTTAGAATCGAGAAGGACGCGCCACTGCAAGAACGTTTAGACAGAGTCCCTCTCATGACAATTATTGAGGTTCTCAACAAGACCCTAGACACAGCAGACTCCAAGAACCCATATCACGACAAGTTCCTCAAACCCGAGCTTAATTCCCTCCAACTTTATGACCAAGACAATGAACTCCTGTTGGCCCAGTGGCCCAGGTCGTGTACTTATCCAGCAAGCATTTGCAGTACCAGTGCCAGCTCCTTCTTCGTCCAAGCATATTCAACATTGTAGTTGAGTTCTTCCCCAACATTTTTGGAAACAAGATGAATTCCAGGCCTGGTGGGACAAGCTTGTCCACCCTCTAGAGCCGGATGGTGACCCCTTATTTGAACTCCCTAAATGGACAGATCCCATTGAGTACCAGTCCCCAGCCAAGACCTCATTCATGATGCAAACTCCTTTCTTTACCCAACTTGGAAACTCAGTCTTCATGCAATGTTCATATGGGTGTTCCACTTTTCTAACTTTGATTGAGGAAGCTCTGTTGCCACTAGTTGAGAGTGTCACTCTGGACTACAACCTCCCTACCCCAAACACAGTTTCCTCCTTGCAGCTTACTTGCAAAGACCTCACAACCTTAGTTTGGCTCCCTTGGGACCATATGGTAAGAACTAGCTATTTTATGGCCTTAGATTATTATCAGCTCACACCAGTTTGGGATATCCCAGCCATTGAAGCCCTACTCAACAACCTTCTCCCAGCGCAGGACCAGACCTATCTCCAGCAGTTTGCAGACAACTTTGTAGAAATTCTTCACTATGCACCACTCTTTACTGATATATTTGGAGGCCTTGCCCCTTTCACCAATGCTCCCCTAAAAAGTTAGCGTCAGCAGGCTCCTCTTTCTCTGACCAGGTTTATGCACAGCTAGCCACACTTCTCAAGATTCAAACTACCGCAAGGCAGACTCTTGTTGCTCCTAATGGCGCCTTTGTAGAAATCTATGATCAGGTCATGCGCTCGATTTCCCCAGACAGTCCCCTCTACCCACATAGAGACCAGTACCTCAGCAGACGCTGGAATAATAAAGGAAATAGTCTTGAATCCTTATCATTAATCCTAGCAGAGCATGGATTTCACTCCTTTGTTTGGGTAATGGCCTGGGTTTGTATACAACTATCCTACAAGGACCAATCATACTCCTTTGTTATCTCATATGTCACTGGCTGCCCCAGGTGGCTATCGATAGCTGATTCAACAAGCTCGGCTTCACTCCCATCTATCACCAGCTCCTTTGGGGACCATGAAGATCCCACTGCAGATTTACCAATGGAAAGATTTACATTAGATGCCTCTGGACCTCAGAGTCCAAGCATCAAACGATTTACATTATGGCGTCTCGAAGCCATGGAAGGCTCTCTTCACTGGAAGGCTCCAATTGACAGCCACGATTTACCAAAGGAAAGATTTACATTAGGTGTTTGGGCCCTGCCCTTCACCACCAGATTTACACTATGCAAGCCTTTTCAATTAGCTTTCTCCTACTCATGGAAAGCTCTAGTGGGCTATGCCCCGTGTACATACAGTCTGTACAAAGCCGCGCATAGTTTAGCTTCTGTAGATCCAATAGCAGCTTCCAGTAGCTTTTCACCAAGACAAGTGAGCGCCTTCTACAGATCTTTCCAGTTTCTTCCATTTGGTAGAAACCCCCAGGCCAAGTTTTGCAAAGATCTGTTTAGCTTCAGATTTCCGTCTTGCACTCAGCAGCGAATGAAATGTTCAGGTTTTGCTTGTAAAAGTTTGAAAAAACTACTCCATTCCCTTAATGGAAATTATGTATGTTTTGAAACCCATACCCCCAAGTTCACGTCAAGATTATGGAGGAACTCCTTCAAGCTCCCAAACGGTATGATTGTTTTTGATTATTCCTTTTATGGTAAAAAATCAACTTTGGCTAAAATATTTTAGGAGAGGCTCTACTTCTGAACTTGACACAGATAGAGCTACCTCCACTAGATTGTATGGGATCATGCTACGGTCGATCGCCTCCAAAGGGGGCGGGCCGGGAAGCCGCTGGACATACCTCCAAGCATATGGAAGGTCATGGAAGTGCAGTGCCCAAAAGGACAGCTCTCATGTCCATGGGCCACAACAACCGATTTACATGATGGATGATTTACATCATGACGACCCAAGGGGTCATGACGACATTTACAATATGGACGACAGCGACGACATCTACAGTATGGCAGATTTTCCACTATCGCAGGAAACTCAGAGCTATTCAGTCCAAAGCGGCTACCAAGATCGACGCGTTCTCAGGGGAACCTCAAGAGGACATCGTTCAGATTCCTCCCGACAACGGACGACGCAGTCATTCCTCCTTTTTGTTCAGGGATACACTCAATCCTCAAGGCGCTCCACTACCACCCTCAGGGACCACTATGGACAGTCAAAGGATGTTTCAAACATTTCCATTAGTGATGCGATAAAATTTTTCCCCTATGACATTTATCCTATTGAATTGGATTCCACCCTTTCAGCCCAGCTCACTGAAAATCCTGCCTTTCTAATTCAGGGGTTCTCCAGTGTTCAGCCACTCATACAACAGGCGATGCAAGACTTTAATATGTCTTACTCTGATTTTGGTCACAAAGGTAAAAGTAGCAGAGACTCCAAAGGTAGAGAAAATGGAATCGAAGCTCAAGGATCCTGGCCTAAGGGCAAAGACAGATCCAAAGTAAAAGGTTACAAAGGCTCCGGTTACAAAGGTAAAGGAGAAATTTTTGATAGGCTCAATCAGGAAGGTAAAGGCAATAAGGACTCCAGGTCAAGACCCTATCAGAATTGGCAAAAGCCCAAAGTGGAAGACTACTCCCAGACCTCCCGCCCAAGTGCTTGGTATAGTAAACAGGACTATGACAATTGGGGTTCCGACAATGCGTGGGGAGCATCCTCACATGGCTCCTCCGGACCCAACAGGACAAGGCAAAGGCAACTCCTCCAAGAAGCGTGACTTGGAAGTTGATAACAGCTCCAATATTTTTCCTTGCTCTGAATGTATGGCCCTAGCTGGCGCAAACTCTTCCTGCAAAGTATGCATTAATGAGCATTGGCAACATTATGATCATCTCACAAAGTCGTTCCGCACTATCAACAAGATTCAACAACATAAGCTTGACTCCTTTCCCTGCCCAATTATGCTCCAAAATAGCAACAATTGTGAAGGTTCAGAAGATATTTTTGGAACTGGCAGTTGCTTAGGTTGTGTACTCTACAGAGACTACATTTTCAAAGTTCATGCAGTTCGACACCCTCCTTTGTGCCCTTACAACAATGTACTTTATTTAGGATATGAAAGAGCCATCATTGCAACCTTAGAGGATTCTTCCCATGAGCTACTATAGAGGCCCTCCAAGCAGCTTGCTATAGTGACACTTATGATAAATCAACATGCCCCAAATCCTCGAGATTAATTGGAACCGCCTGAACAGCCCCCGGGCCTTTCGATGATGCATCATCTGCTGCTGTACTGCCCTTTTTGTCTTTCATCCTGGGGCCAGCTCTGGTCCTGCTGATGCTTCGACCACTTGTTCCACTTCTGCCCTTTCCAGGGCTTGCTTCCAACGAGCCTGCTTGCTTTGGTACTGATGGGGGTCGTGCCAAGAGGACGACGAGCCCGTACCTCCCTGCTGCCCCAGGGGGGGAATCGGCTCCTGGAGCTGCTGGAGGAGTCTCTGCTGCTCTCAAAAGGTCCCGCCATCGGGTATGTCGGAAATATGCAAAGGAACATCTTCGCAGAGTTGCAAGGGAGTCTACCAAAATGGCGGGAGGCTTGAAGCTCGAAAATCTCGACGGCGCTGCTGCTGTCAACTCCCGCTGCAAACTCACTTGCTGCCTCGACGTCAGAACTGAATCGAGCCTGCTTGCAGAAGCTCCATACTTCAGTGTTTGGCCCTTCGGCTCTTGTTCTATACTGTCGCCTATGCACCTCAGGCATAAGCAGACCAACGATCA